CTCCGTGACCTCCTCCTAGCTGCTGGGGCTGCCATGAGGGTCCCCCCGAAGCCATTTCATCGCCGGGCTGGACGAGCCCCGTTCCCGCAGCATCTCCTCCCCGGGCAAGCGTGCCCCTCAGCAGCCTCGGTGGCCTTTCCCCGCGCTCGCCCCAAACGCCTTTCAAACCACACAAAACCAGGGACACAAAAACAGCAGCAGTATTTTAGGCACAATCTCACAATATCAACTAAAAGGGAAGAATTGCTCCCTCCCCCTTCCCCATTTCTCCCCTCGAGCTAAAGAAAAAGCAAAAAGAAATCCTCATCAAGCTGTCAAGCTCAGTTTCCTTCAGGAATACAATTAAATCTCTACATGGCAACGTGACCATCAGTTCTTCCCCATCTCAAAAGATGCTTCTCAAGCAGTGTTCAGCTGTTCTTCTCGTCCACCCCCTCCTCTCGGTTTTCCTTCCCGCTGCTGAATGCAACAGAGACTGGGCTTCGCAGCCAAAAAAAGGTGCGATTTGGAGAGCGTGGCGTGATGTTGTGAGTGGCAGAAGTGAAAAGGCAGAGAAGCAACCCTCGAAAGCCTGCCTTCTGCTGCATCGGGTGTCAGCCTTGGCAAAACCTGAACTTCCAGAATTTTCTTGCAAAATTAAAAAAAAAAAAAGGCGATTAGAGGACCTGTCAGATTTGGCTGCTGCTTTTCTTTCTGTTATTCCCTTAAAATGAAAAAATAGTTCTTTCTTTTGTTTAACAGCACAGTTGGTGCAATCTGGGATGTACCTGCCTGCCAGTATATGGGGATATGGTATTGCCATCTCAGTTTGGGGTTCCCTGACACTGGCAAGATTAAATGAATGCCAAGCACCTTGATGCTGCTGTGCTTGGAAGACCTCTGCATGAATAAATGACTTTTTTTTTTTCCTAAGCAAGCTTGGAAATCTATATCCCCCTCATTTTCCCCATTTGGGGGGTGCTTTCCTACTGCCGTGAGTTTGGAGGGGGTCCATTAAAATGAATGGCGGGGCACAAGGAGAGGAAGGGAGAGCACAGGGGCTTTGCTGCTCCCAGCCCAGGGCCACAGGTGGAGCCAAGGCTAGGGCTGTGGGAGAGCTGAGCAGCTGCCTGGGGTTGGTCATCCCATCCTCCAGCCATGGGGTTACTGCATCCTCCCCCACTACCCTGTTCTTTTCTGAGGCAGGTCTGGGTGGACCTCTGACCTGCTGCAGCACAGCGATTTCAGCAATCGCACCTCCTACAACGTGGGCAACAAACAATAAATATGATGGTTACTAATAATAGCCCACCCTCTCCATCCCTGATGGTTTACGCATGCAAAAATGCTGCCGAGTCAGTTCAATATTCCCCCTGGTTCATTAAACCAGCATCCATTTTCCTGCAGATAAGATGGTCCGTCAGGGGAAGGGATGATGGTAACTCATTTGTCACACTTGTTAAATGTAGGAAAGGCTGGTTTTGGGTCACTTCCAATTTTGTGTCAGCTCTGCCTTTATTTGAGCAGCCCCATGCTTGCATGCCAAGCAGGGTGGCTCTCTCCGGTGTAGCCCAGGAGATGGGGATGGTGGCACCATCCCCACAAAATTTTGCAGAGTCGTGGGGGTCTCCAAGGGCAAAAGCACTTGCAACATGGCTCCAATGAGTCCCAGCTCATATAGAGGAACGCACTTGTTATTGCAAGAGGTGCCAGGCACATTGGTCCCCCAGTGACCTCAACTTGCAGCTTTGAGCCCCTGGCACTGCAAGTGGCATCACCCTTCGTGAGTTATCCCCTGAGCCCATCCTGCCAGGCTTGTGTTTGGGCTGCAAATCTTGAGAGGTGCAAGGGGCACCCATATGGTGAGGGAGTCAAGACCTTGGGAACAGCCAACGTGAGCTCAATGCAGGTACAGGTGGAGGGAAAAGGTGATGCAACTTCACCTCTGCACTCCTCATAACCCTCGAAGGACTTTGGGGTGTTTAGTCAGGGTCTTGCCTAAACTAGCACCATCCCAGTGGGCTTTAATTTGCTCCAATTATCAGGTGCCAGCTCAGGGTGGCTGCAACATGAGTCATTTTGGCTGCACCCTCTTTGGAGGCATTGCCATCGTGACAGGCCACCTCCTTCCTCTGCTAGGGACAAGGACTGGATACAGCCCCTAGATGTTAGGATGGAAATGCCGATGGCTATGACCCCTCAGATCTTGCTTCAGGTAATAGAACAAGAAGTAGCCAAGAGAGGTTGGGAAGAGTCTTGACCTCTGGATGAGTGACCATAGAGTAGTTCATGGACGAGATACTTCCCAGGGCACCATGTACTGCACTGCCATCAGAAACTTCAGTGCAAAACAGACCCCTGATCTGGTCTGGTGTGGAAATGCCCTCCAGCAAGTGGGGAGCAGGTAGGACTGCAGCTAAAATGAAGCCCAGGCCGGGGTTAAGGCATGGAGACCTGGGCAGGAAGGGGGTGATGTCTCGTGAGGCTTTCAGAGAAGCATCCTCATGGACTGTCCCTACAGCTCACTATGGCACAGCCCTCACTGAGCACAGCCCAGACAGTATGTTGATTTAACTATGCACTCAGCAGAGGATGAAGTGTTCCACAACGGCCTGTCTGCATTCCCCATCTCTTGCTGCACCTTCACTCTCATGGTGGGCGCAAAGGTGGATGCTGTTGCCTCCTCCTGGCTCCATGGCTGGTCTGCAGCAACAGGTCTCCCTTGGCACGAGGTCATCTTGCAGCTGGAAAAGGATGAGGCAGCTGCAGCATATGAGATGAGATGAAGGGTCAGAGGGGCTGAAAAGCTGTATTTTAGTCCTGGTCTTGCCATTCATTCGTGGTGTTTTCAAGTCAGGGCGTGTTGATTTGCAGCACTGCAGGCAGCTGTCGGGAAGGGCTCTGAGCTTCTGCCTCGTTCAGCAGCAAACGCACAGTGTCTCTGAAATCTGGCTCTGGGTAACAACCCTGGGAAGTGCTGCAGTAGCAGCAGGTTCAGACTGCGGCGATTTATTTCAATCTTCAACACTGGTCCTAGCAGGGGAGGGGGGACCTGCCCGCTCAGCTGCATTTGCTTGCTTGCAATTGATCAACCATCATGGGAGTCGTTGAGGTCTCTGCTCTTAAATCTGGATCTGTGCCCTCTTTTATGGCTGCATGCTGCCCTGACCTGCAGCAACATCCCTAACTCCTGCTTTAAATCTCTCCCAAGCCACTGCTGGTGACACTAGCATTTTCTCTTGCTGGCTTGTAGGGACCAGGAGCCCGGCCCTCCTAAGGAAGGAATTAACACAGCAGCATCATATATCAGAGGTATCTTTATTGACCGTTTACAGAAATACAGTAGCACTCGGTTTAGGGGGCTTAGGCGAGTTCTCCAGGAGGTGCCTTACTCCTCAGCATTGCTGGGAGATCCTGAGGAGAAACCTGCCCTTTAATGCTTTGGGGTTTCTCTGGAGGCTTTGGGGCTCCCTAGCACAAACTTCCTAACGCCCTCAGCTCTCCAGGGTTTGGGAGTTGTTGGAACCAGTGGATGAAACTCAAGAGAGGAAAAGGAAAAGAAACCCCTGTATGCTGGGGGGTGGTGAAGTGGTCTGAACACGTCTGATATGTTGTGAGCCAGCCCTGCTGTGGTCACCATCCATCACTGCACGCACCTCCCGCTCGGCAGGACCCCACTGCTCCCCAGAGCTCAGCTTTCTGCTGCCAGGCATGCATTGCTCTCGGCTTTGCACGCTCTTGTCACATCTTGTTGGCCATAAAATAAATATTTTTTGGTCTATTTTTCTCCCTGTACATGTGTAAGAGTCAGACCATTTCCTACAGCAGTTCACAAACTGTTTGGGGGCAGGAAAGGTATGCTCAGCTGGGCTGATCAACTCATTTAATTTTTATTCATGTATTTAATTGGCTTTTTTTTTTTTTTTGCAATCAAGGTGGAGTGGGGTTTTTTTTGCGTCCTTGCTACAAGAAACAACTGCAGACACTTCTGGCATAGAGGCATTTTGGCGGCGGCCACTGCTGTTGGCCTCACTCTAGTAGTCAGTGAGGGGGTATCGCAGGAAGATGAAGATAAGGATGATACAGAAGGTGGCAAGGGCTGAGCTGGTGATGTTAAAAAGCCGGGCTGTCTTGGCATCTTCGACTGCTCCATTTAAGTCATTGAGGAGTTTCTTATCCCGGACCTGAGACCAAAAGAAAAAAAAATTGGGAGATATATAAAAAGACATAACTTGTTTCAAGCAACACCCACACTGTAGGGTGTGTGTGCAGTGGACAAGGGCTGGGCTGTGCCTCTTTGCATTTGAATACTGGGGTGCCATAAAACACCCCGAAGTGAGGTTTGCACACTGGCTCTCCTATGGGTTGAGCTTGTGAAGTCAAGCACGGTAATGCCTGTGGGCTGGAAATGGCTGGGAGTGGAGAATACCTGGAAGAGTGCCACGTTGCTGTTACCAACCAGGCAAACCAGGTCCCTGTGGCCCCTGGAGTGGGGCAGTGCCATTTTGAGCCTGAGGGTGCACAAGGGAACTGAGGCACCATCATGCACCCCATGCACGTGGGCACTAAAGTATTCTTCCCACCATGTCACAGCCCCCTGGCCCTGCAGCGCTGGGCTTTGGCTCTCCCGGCCCATGAGCGAGAAGGCTGGCTGCGGTTTTGGTGTGCATCCCCGTGCCTCTGTCTGTGCTGAGCAGCTGAGAGGGTGAAACCTGGCATGGCATCCTACTGCAGCTCCAGGGCTGTGCATGAGCCTCCAGCATATTAAGCAGTCCTGGGTTAATGAGTTCCTTTTGCAGGTCCTATGCGGCTCGTGTAGCATCTCTGCCACTGGCAGTTTTCAATCCTGACAGTGTGGTCTGCTCTCTTCATTATCCTGTGGGCTGGGACTTTCATGGGCTTGCCTTGGGACAGCTCTGCAGTGGGTAAGGATTGTGCATGTCCATGTCACTGGCTTGCCTCCACCTCCTCCAGGCTGCTAGGCAGGGCATGGCACTGCCAGGCAGCGATGGCACCAGCAGGCAGCAGATGGCACTGCAAGGCAGAAATGCCACTACCAGGCAGAAGATGGCATTGCCAGGCAGTGATGGCACAGCCAGGCAGCACATGGCGCTGCAAGGCAGTGATGGCATTGCAAAGGCAGCAATGGCATCGTCAGGCAGCAGATGGCACAGCCAGGCAGCAGTGGCACAGCCAGGCAGCAGATAGCATGTGCAGGCAGCGGATGGCACAGCCAGGCAGCTGATGGCACTGCCTGCCAGCAGCAGCTCTGCAGTTTGAGCCCAGCAGATGAGTGGCCAGGCTTCATCCCTTCCTAGCAGGGTTGTGTCCCCATCCCCAAACTGCCCCATCAGCTGGCATTCAGCAGACCCAGGCAGCTGGAGCCATGAGGATGTGGGATGAAAGGACCAGGAGACTTTACCCCTCTTCCCTTTCCCGTAACCGAGCGGAGTATCCAGGGGCTGGCATGGCGTGGCAGTGCCTGCTTTGCTGCCCACTTTGCGGCTGGAGGGTTGCAGGCCATGGGGCTGCATGTCCTTCTCAGCCTGCCTTTGCTGCTGGCAGCATGAGCACCATCAAGGCGCTGCTGGCTGAACGCTAGGTGTCGGTGGCAGGCTGCAAAAACCAGCCCCAGCGTCCTACCTAGAAATACTAAAAGGCTTTTATCGACCAGGAGCTTTCCAAAAAGACTCTGCAACAGATTCAGACCACGTCTTAGTGACTTTTTCTCTCTCCCTCCTGCAGTGCTGGGAGGCTGTCCACAGCACTGTTCACAGGGCTGTCCTGAAAGCCTTCTGCAACTTGCTGGATATGGGGAAGGGCTGTGGAACCCCTCATTCCCACTGAGCCATGCTGGTTCATGGGGCCTCCAAAACCACATCTCAGACCCTCAAGCAACGTCCTCTCCTCCGTCACACCAGTGAGGACCTCTCTGCACAAGCACCCCCTGCCCTTCATTAATCCTGGACTGTGGGGAGGGAGGGCTGCTGCTGGCATGAGGCCCACAGGAGCTGGCACTGACAAGCATGTAGGCAAGAATGAGAGCTCTGTTATCCTCCTTGTATTAAATCCTGCAATGCCTCAGCTTCTGTTGCGCCCTGCTCCTGGGAGCCTGCAGCTGGAGCCGGGACCATCCACCCATCACCTGCTGCTGAGTGCTTGGCAGCTTCAGGGCATCCTTCTGGGAGCGGGGACAGGGGAGAGTCACAAACCGCGCGTGGCTCTGTGGCATGCTTGGCTGGTGCTCCCAGCAGCGGAGATGACCTCTGGGAAGGCAGCAAGCCAACAGCTTGGGAGCCAGCACGCCTTTTTGTATCAGCTGCATGTCCAGGATGACTCACCTTTGAAATGCTTTGGTAGGTTTAGCATCCTCCTGAAAACCCCTGGGCACAGCAGCGCTGGACAGCCAGCACCTCCTCACCCACCTGTGAGAAGTGCAGAGGTCCCAGCAGCCAGAGCCCCAGGGGCACTGGATTCGGGCCAGAAATCCCACCTGCTGCTCCCGGCAGGCTCTTTGAAGCTCTCATGTGCTTTCCTCTTCCCAGCAGTGGGCTGCTGGAGGCAAACCCTGCGCAGAGCACATGCCTTTTGCTCCTTCATCCGCTGTAACACAGCCACGGCTGGGAGAGGTCGCTGTCCGCCGCAGGCAAGCCAGTGTTTGCCATCAGTGTTTGCCAGGCAGACAGAGGTTTCTCCAGCAGACCGGTATGACCAGCACACCGAGCTCTGCAACCCTCCCGCCGCCGAGCTGCTTGCTTTGCTTTTGTGGGCCCAGTGCCTCTTGGCCCCAGGAGCTCTCCCCCACTCTTCGCCTCC